GACGTGGACAGGCTGGAGAGCTGGGCAGAGAGGAACCTGATGAAATTGAACCAGGGCAAATGTAGGGTGCTGCACCTGGGGAGGAATAACCCCCTGCACCATGATGGGTTGGGGGTGACCTGCTGGAGAGCAGCTCTGAGGAGAAAGACCTGGAAGTCCTGGTGGACAGGACAAGAGGGAACGGGCACAACTGGAACATAAGTAGTTTCATCTCAACACGAGGAGGAACTTCTCCACTTTGAGGGTGGCAGAGCCCTGGCAGAGGCTGCCCAGGGAGGTGGTGGAGTCTCCTTCTCTGGAGACATTCAAACCCCACCTGGACACGTTCCTGTGTGACCTGCTCTGGGTGGACCTGCTCTGGCCGGGGGTTGGACTGGATGGTCTCCAGGGCTCCTGTCCAACCCTGTATCACTCTGTGATTCTGTAATAGCAACTCATTTTCATGATGGCGTATTTTTTTCCCCTTCATATAAAGGGGTTCACATAGTTTTCTTGTGTATATATATGTATCTTGTATATCTTATATATACCTCTCGTATATCTTATATACACATATATATATATATATCTTGTATATCTGTCCTTTCCTATTGCTGGTTTTTCCCCTTCATATCAAGGGGTTCACATAGTTTTCTTGTATGTGTATATATATATATCTAGTATATCTTATATATACCTCTCGTGTATCTTATATACATATATATCTATCTTGTATATCTGTCCTTTCCTATTGCTGTCTGCTGCCACAGGTGAGGAAAAATGCCCTTCAAAGTTGGGCAGTCAGGGGTGGCTTCTTCACTAAGGTCCAGGCAAGAGCAGAAAGCTTTTTACTTGAGCACAGCGACACGGTCCCTCTCAGAAAGGGGGTAACCTGGGGTCTGGGAAGAAAATCTCTCCAGGGGAAGCCCGTTTCTCTGGTGTGTTTTAATGATAAGGAATTTATTCCTCGCGGATCAGATGCATTATCTTATGTCACCATTCAGTGCCGTTACCTCATTTAACCATTTCAGATGCCTTACCTTATTTACCTGGGGGTAGGGAACAGCAGGAACAAGCAATCCCAGGCTCTTCTTCCTTACCCCTTCTTACCTTAAAATTATTTCAGGCTCTTCCTTCGAAGCCGCTGTAGATAAGGGTTAAGAGCTGAGTTATTGCAGCACTAAATCATTCTCACTTTGATACAGGTTGCAGCCATCTCTAATTCACCCTCTTAGTTCCTAAAGGAGACACTAACCAGAACAGCTGCTTTAAAAGCATTAGCTATTGATGGGCGACAGCGTTTGATGCCTTTAACATACTTACAGTCAGGAGAGAAGTGAATCATGGTGGTGTAACCAGCTGGTGCCACCATCAATCCCTGGGACGTGGGGACCTCTGTGCTCCCTCCTCCATCCCCTGCCCCACAGCTCGGCTGGCTTTTTTGGGGAGCAACCCCGAAAAGAAATAGGCAGCGGCAGGCGGGATGGGGATGCTTCTTTGGGGAGCATCCCCCTCAAAAAATAGGCAGCGGCAGGTGGGATGGGGATGCTTTTTTTGGGAGCATCCCCCCCAAAAAAATGGGCAGCGGCAGGCGGGATGGGGATGCTTCTTTGGGGATGCATCCCCCCCAAAAAGTAGGCACGAAAAAGAAATAGGCAGCAGCAGGTGGGATGGGGATGCTTCTTTGGGGAGCATCCCCCCAAAAAATAGGCAGCAGAAGCCGGGATGGGGATGCTTCTTTGGGGAGCATCCCCCTCAAAAAATAGGCAGCGGCAGGTGGGATGGGGATGCTTTTTTTGGGAGCATCCCCCCCAAAAAAATGGGCAGCGGCAGGCGGGATGGGGATGCTTCTTTGGGGATGCATCCCCCCCAAAAAGTAGGCAGGAGCAGCTGGGATGGGGATGCTTCTTTGGGGAGCATCCCCCCAAAAAATAGGCAGCGGAAGCCAGGATGGGGATGCTTCTTTGGGGAGCATCCCCCCAAAAAATAGGCAGCAGCAGCTGGGATGGGGATGCTTCTTTGGGAATGTACATCCCCAAAAAGAAATAGGCAGTGGCAGCTGGGATGGGGATGCTTCTTTGGGGAGCATCCCCCCCAGAAAATAGGCAGCAGCAGCCAGGATGGGGATGCTTCTTTAGGGATGCATCTCCCCCAAAAAGTAGGCAGGAGCAGCTGGGATGGGGATGCTTCTTTGGGGAGCATCCCCCCCAGAAAATAGGCAGCAGCAGCCAGGATGGGGATGCTTCTTTAGGGATGCATCCCCCCCAAAATACAGCCAATGGTAGCTGGGATGGGGATGCTTCTTTGGGGAGCATCCCCCCCAGAAAATAGGCAGCAGCAGCCAGGATGGGGATGCTTCTTTAGGGATGCATCCCCCCCAAAATACAGCCAATGGTAGCTGGGATGGGGATGCTTCTTTGGGGATGCATCCCCCCCAAAAAGTAGGCAGGAGCAGCTGGGATGGGGATGCTTCTTTGGGAATGTACATCCCCAAAAAGAAATAGGCAGCAGCAGCCGAGATGGGGATGCATCCCCCCAAAATATAGGCAACGGCAGCTGGGATGGAATATGCTCCATGTTAGCTGATGCATTCTGACACATCGTAGTAAACATCCAGAGCCCACTGTGTGGTTTGTCTTCTGCTGCTCTTTGGCAAAAATCACATGTAGAGACTAAGATTCATAACTGGACTTGGCAGCTTTCTGTAGCTGAGTGGATTAAGCCAGTGCAGTGAAGGAGGAGGTGGGCAAGGTGAAATTATTTCCATATGGCAGATCCCGGGTGCCGCTGCCCATTTCTGTGCCCTAATTGCAGCAAATCGCGACAATTTGGTGTTCGGAGCCTAAAAGCGCTCGTGTTTTGTGGCGTTTCCCGTGAGCTAGCGGCGAACCCGGCATTTAAAGTGCCTTTCTCCATGTTTTCCCCACCCTCCGGCTCCTCCTCCGCGGGGCCGGTTCGTTCCCGGCTCCCGGGCGGGGACCGGGGGCGGTTGCGGTGGCCGTTGGGCGATGGCGGGGCGGTGGCGAGCGGCGCTGGCGCTGCTGGTGGCCCTGGGGCTGGGGACAGGGACGGGGCCGTGGCCACCCGGGGGTGAGTCACCCCTGTGGTGGTTCCCCCGGGGTGGGGGTGCTGTGTGTGGGGGGTGTTTTCTTCCTCTTTTTTTTTTTTTTTTTTTTTGTGGTTTTTTTTTTCTAATTTTTTAACTGAAATGCCAGATTTTTCCCCCAGGAGGTCACCGGTTTTTTTGGGTGGCTGGTCCTGGGCTCCCATCCCCGTTTGCTTCCATCCCTGCCTTTGCACAGAAGCTGGGGAATTTCAGTCCTTGCTATTTTTCAAGGACTGCTTGGGGAGGGTGGTGAGGGGGTGAGGCAATTTTTTTGTTTCTTTTTAGGAAATTGAATGTACTAAAGGAAAATGTAACACAGCCCAGGGTTTGTGCTGTGCTTTATTATTTATTATGCATGTAAAAAAAAAAGATAGGAAACGTTAGAATTATCCATAAATGGGGATGTTGACATGCTTAGCTATGTATACAACTCCTCCCCGGATTAAAATGCTGAATTTAAAAAAAATATTTAAAGGGACTGTCATGCTCCTGAAGGTAGTGACAGTGGATAAATTCTTTCTAGCATTTCCAAAGACTTGGTTTTAAAAGGTAAAAAAGCCACATCACTATAAAAACCTCTTTCTGTCCTGTTAGTTGGAGGTTGAGGGTTGTCACTCCCTCGCATGGTGAGGGGCCTGGAGGAACGGGACGTTGGTGAATTTGGGGAAGTGGCAAGCCCAAAAAACTCCTCTGCAGCGTTCCAAGCCCTGATCTGCTGAAAATGCTGGAGCTTTTCTGCCACCAAGCGAGGCAGGGCACGCAGTGATAAGTGACTGGCCCATCTTCTCCCCACCATCGTCATCTCCTGGACTAATGTTGCTTAAAATTTCACTTTTTTCATAGAGTTTTCTACCTGTTTCTTCAAATTATTCTCTCATTTCAGAGCTTGTCTTTTTTTTTTTTTTCCACTGGAAGTATTTATGCCCCAAACCCCAATGTTTGCTTACCGATTAGTCTATTGTTGATGGAAATGATAATTTACAGCAAGACCCCACTTCTTAAATCAAGACTTTATGGAGAGTGATGTCCTCAGATGCGTTTCTTGGAGTTTGTTGTGTCTGAAAGTCAGGGAGCAGGACGGGGAAGTGTGAGCCTGCTGGCGGCGTGGCCACCAACTGCTGCTGTGGGCTAGTGAGGGTGGTCGAGGAGGGGGAACGTGTCTGTGACCACTGCACCAACCTGGGGCAACTTAGGGAGTTTACTCCAGTCTGAGCTCCAGTTCTTTAACCTTCCAAAGGAGTGGGTGCAGAAGAGGTTGGGTATTTGCCTTTGTTCCGAGGGTTCTCCTGGTGGTTGATGGTCTCCATCTCTGGAGACATTCAAACCCTGCTTGGACACGTCCCTGTGGGACCTGCTCTGGGTGGCCCTGCTCTGGCAGGGGGTTGGACTGGATGGTCTCCAGAGGTCCCCATGTGATTCTGTGGTCTTCCCAGGGGATGGTGACAGCAGCGTCACGGGGAAAGGAGATGTGGCCCATTATCCCAAAGGTCACTCGTTGGAAGTGGTTGGACTGCGTCGAGTCACGAGATAGGATGCTTCAATATAGTATCTTAAGACTCTACATGGGAAAATAATTTGTTTTCTCTTTGTTTTTAGAGGTTCTGATCCTCTGAAGCAAATTCCAGCTTTGGTAGGGTATCTGTCTTTCAGGAAAAAAAAAAAAAGTTTCAGAGGGCAAAAAGAAACCTGGCCAGAAAAAAAGGGACCTGGAAAAAACCTGGATTTCCACAATAGAGCCATGCAGCTTTCCTTTACCAGAACTGCTTATGACACGGCAACTTCTATTCAAAGCAGAAGATTATAAAGTACAGAGAGCAGCAAATTCAAGCCCGTGTATCCAGTCGAGATCACGTTGTTTGTGTTTGTGCTGAGTGACTGATTATGTTTCTAATGGTTTTTTTTTCTTTCTTTTTAGCATTGCAGCCTGATTTTGGGAATGCGACGTCTCTGGAGGTAATTTTAATGAGGGGGCTTCGGAACACAGATGTATTTATTTCTCATTAATTGCTCACTGTTTTGGTGCTACTGTGTATATGATAAGCCAAATTTTTCCACGCTTGAAACTATGAGGAAGCTTTCCTGGGGATTTTGGTGTGAGCCATGTCAGAGGAGACAAAGGGGAATCTTAATAGGTTCCCACTATGGAAAGACTTGCATTAATTTAATTTTGAAATTTCCAAGATGGAACCTTTCCTAAATATGCTTATTTATTCCTAATGAAGAGGATTAATTTCACCAAGTGTGACTTTTTATAATATGTCACTGAGTTTTGATACGTCGCTAGCGTTTTAACGATGACATGGCAACAATAGTCACATGTTGCTTTTAGGTTTCGTGATTTTCAAACATAACAATGTGCCACGTTAACAATGTGCCACGTTTTTCCAGAAGTTTGTGATCTGCTGCAAATTTTATGACATTTTATTGTAGTTATTAGTGATGACCAACTTGGTTTGGGATTTTAGAACAGCTCTGGGTGGAGAAACCTTGCTGCCTCTCAGATGCAAGTAATTTTAAAGAACACAGGGTGCTTTTTTGTAGGCACTTTTCAAAAGTTGTGCTTTCTTAGTTGGGCTGTAGTGTTCAAAAATACTCAGTCTAATTATAAAAGAATATATTTTATAGAAGTAGGGCCACTGGCCTTGTATGAGGCTTTTTTGCCTGAGTGTGCATTAATTCATATTCAGAGTTTTACATGTGTGGAAGTTTGTACATCTATTTCTCTCATGGAGACTGGTAGCTATTTAGAATCTACCTGATGTCATTTTTGTCCAAGAAAAAAAAAAAAGTGTAAATTCCAATGTTCAGTTGAAAGCATTCATTTGCAAGTTGGATTTTGACATTTTTAAACTTGAAAAAGCCTGTATTCTCCCCCACGTAGTGCATCTAGAGGAGAAGCAAATTTATGAGTTGTGAGTATTGTAAAGAATATATTCACAAATATACTGGGCTTTTTTTTTCTTGGCCTGGTTTGATTGCTTCTTTACTAAAAATAGTAGCCTTCACTTTGAGTTTCCAGGCCTCTCTGGGCGTAATGTTGTCATTAGAGTTGTCTCCCTCCACCCCAGTTTTTTTACAGTAGCTTGTCTTAGAACCTAAAAAATTGAGTGCTATGATACGGCGATGGATGTTATCCCTGCAATGAGCTGTTAAATCCTGATGTGGTTAAAGTTAGTTTTTGTCTTTGGCAGGTGATGGTGCATGATCCATCCTCGACTCCTGAGATTTCAGATATGGACTTTGATGTTGATGCTCTCTTCAATGGTAAGAGCTTTTCCCTCACACAGCAACAACCCCCAGTTCAGCTGCAGGCTGACCAGTAGGACCTTTTTCAAACCAATAACTCTTAAGGAGGGCATCCCATGCACACTTCCTGTGCTCGTTAGGGCAGAAAAGCTGCGGCTTTCGAGAGTGTCATGGAAAGAGCTCCATTTCACTGCAGAGGCAGAGTGAACGGGACAACTCACTGCATTATTCATCCAGTCCAGAAAGCAAGGTTACCATCTAGTACAGGGAAAAAAAAGGGGTCTGGAGCACAAGTCTTGTGAGGAGTCTCACACAGCAACACCCCCCATTTCTGCTGCAGGCTGACCAGTAGGACCTTTTTCAAACCAATAACTCTTAAGGAGGGCATCCCATGCACACTTCCTGTGCTCGTTAGGGCAGAAAAGCTGCGGCTTTCGAGAGTGTCATGGAAAGAGCTCCATTTCACTGCAGAGGCAGAGTGAACGGGACAACTCACTGCATTATTCATCCAGTCCAGAAAGCAAGGTTACCATCTAGTACAGGGAAAAAAAAGGGGTCTGGAGCACAAGTCTTGTGAGGAGAGGCTGAGGGAGCTGGGGGTGTTCAGCCTGGAGAAAAGGAGGCTGAGGGGAGACCTTCTGGCTCTCTCCAACTCCCTGAAAGGAGGGTGTAGCCAGGGGGGGTCAGTCTTTTCTCCCAAGGAACAGGTAACAGGACAGGAGGAAACGGCCTCAAGTTGCCCCAGGGGAGGTTTAGGATGGATATTGGGGAAAATTTCTTCCTGGGAAGGGTTGTGAAACCTTGGCAGAGGCTGCCCAGGGCAGTGGTGGAGTCCCCATCCCTGGAGGTATCTAAAAGCCGGGCAGACGTGGTGCTGAGGGACATGGGTCAGTGGTGGGTTTGGCAGGGCTGGGTTGGTGGTTGGACTCCATGAGCTGAAAGGTCCCTTCCAACCTGGGCAATTCTCTGATTCCATAATTCTAAATATGGAGATTGTAGTTATTCTAGCGGAAGTGCATTTGTAGTAAAGTTTGTGTTCTTTGTGATGTTGGCTGAAGGGTGAGATCAGCAAACGTACGTTTGCCCCAACACACAACTTCAAAGTTTTTTAATACTGTTTTGCAGAATCTCAGACAACTCCTTCGACAACAACAGCTAAAAAGAAGGACGTCCTGACGTGCTTCGTGGACATCCTGAAGCACGTAGCTGAATTTGACCCCACGGGGGAGACCCCCTTTCAGCTTTCAGCCATCACGCCCCCCATCAACGAGACCAAGGAAACTCTTTTGTCAAAACTCTGCGGGACGTCTGCTGAAAGTATAGAAAACCTAGAAGACCTCCTAATGACATTTGAACCTACACCATCTACAACACCTACACCACCAGCAGTCCTGACAGCCCAAACTGGCCCAGATCTTTCTGTTTCATGCGTTTATACGTCTATTCGGCTGATGAAAGCGCTGAAAGAACTAGCTGAAATACTTGAAACCGCGGCTACGAAAAAGAAAAACAAGGCTCTCGGTCAGTTAATAAATGGATTTAGTGAGATCTTGGAAGGATGTTTTAAAAATTTGCATGTTAAATATCGCAATTAAATTTGACAGCCCCAAACCTGCCAGCAAAAGGATGAGAAAGGTCGCATGAGTTTAAGAAGATGGAACGTCAAGTTTTAGGCAAAGTCACCTTGGGAATGATTGAAACGTTACAGACAGCAGTGGTGAATGCACCTGAGAGCATTAAAGAAACCACATCTTAATGGGCTGGAATCTAGAAAAGGAGTAAACAGTTTGTAAGAGCAACTGTATAATTTATCTAATGATCCTCCCTCTCCATCTGTCCACTGGGTCTAGGAGGGAGCTCAGCTGAAACCAGGAAAATAAGATCTTTGATTAACCTGCTTCATTATTTTAGTCACCATTTAGATACGTATTTTAATAGTTATGTTGAGAAAAATATTCCAGCTTTCAAGAATGGTGAAAACACTTAAAAAAAATAAATACAAATATCTAGAATATTGTCATTGTCTTTCCTTGAGATTGAAAAGATTGATTTTCAGTTTTGCCCATCACCCAAACCAGATTTAACTATATTTATCCCAGTAATTTAAAGTTCTCATTTTAAAATGTTTTTCCTCGTGTCTGTTATGTGACGGTGACAAATTGGACCATAATGAAATAAAGAATAGTGCTGGGTGGGCTTTTCCAAGTCTTACTGTCTTTCGTATGTGCATATAAGAGATGACAACTCAAAGTCACTCGTATATTTAGAGTACACTCGATGCTCTACACTAATGGCACAGTAAGAAATTGGCTTCAGCAGTTTCTCCATATTTTTTTTTTTGGTGGACATATTCCAATTTAAATTTCATCGGTGGAAAATATGCTCTTATTTAAAAATAGTACTGTGCAATGTTTACGTTTTCTGTTACTAACTGCCAGGTTTTTGGAGCTCTCCACTATTTCTGTTTTCTTACTATTTATTTGGATTTTCTTTCAGTTAATTTCTTAGAAGGTTTCTGTCAAATATTGTTCTTTCTTGAAACGTAGTCTTCCGCATGGATTAAAAGCTGAAAATGGGAGTTTTCAGCTTTTTGACATAAACATGCTTTTCAACTAAATATATTCACTTGTATGGCTTCTAGTTCGATATCCATGATATACGTCTTCGGTGCTTTTTCCATTAAAAATGGGTTCATACCTTGATGACACAAGGCTTAAATTCGGAGAACATTCTTGATATTATACTATCAAGTAAGGAAAATTATTTTTTTTAATTTAATTTTAAAATATAATTCTAAATTTCAAGTATAATCATTATGTTGCAAATTTGGCCTATTCAGTTAACATGTTTTCTCAAAACTTTTTTACTTCTGCCTGACAAAAATTCCAAGCAAAAGGCTATTGTCTTTAAACCATTGACCATTAATGTGGGCAAAAGTGGTGCAAAGCAATAAAAATGTGAAGTGGAGACAGCAAAAGGCATCGTGGAGAGCTCCGGAGTTTGGATCTTAACAGAGTTTCATAAACATGGACAAATTTCTTAAAGAAGATGAAAATTAAAGTCAGCGGGGTTAGAGCTGAGCTGTTGTGGGAAGGTTTGGGAGCTGAGTGGGTGAGGGACCCGAAATCTCATTTATCATTTGTAGGAGCAATTGGAGGGAATTTTTCTGTTTTTCCACTTAGAACTATCCATAAACAAATGGACTTTTTGACTGCGTGGAGAAGTTCCGTAAGTTTTTACGTGGAAAGGAGCGAATTTTCAGTGTGCAGTTTATTTATAAATTGTTGACAGCTGTGATTTTTTGGTTATTGTTATTGGTGGTGCTTGTTTGAAGTCAGTAACTCCTGTTCCTTCAGTGGGTCACTGGGACTTTGAGGCTCCAAAATTCAAGACACAGTGATGACCATGACTGAGCTTTCTCTGCTCTGTGCCTGGGCTGCCTTCACAATATTCCTTGGGGAGCTCCATGCATGGAGGTCTCTCCATCACCCCTTGGACACTTCACCTTCACTGGGCTGCCTCCTGTAAAATGATTTTTGTGAATAACCTGATTATGGGCATTTGAGGAGCCCCGTGCTCTTCCTGATTTTCAGAGTATTCAGAGGGAGACCCTTAAGCTGTTTGTAAAGTAGTTCAAAAATAACGAGGTAATTATGGAAACGTCACAACCAGCTGCTTCTCCTTAATGGTTCCATTGAAATCCTTTTTTCAGGGCTGGGATTGCTTAAACCTTTAAAAGGGCGCAGTCATTTGGGGTAAAATCATTTCAATTGGAATCCACATGACTGGATCTGTGAATAAACAACCATGAAAGCTGGATCAAATGCCTGATTTATGGTGAGTTTAAGTATTAAGAATGTTTGTGTTATTATGTATTTATTTGTCTGTATATATATGTAACAACTTTGTTAATTGAATGTTGTAGCAGACTATTCTTCAACAATTTTTTTTTTTTGCCAGGTTTAATACAATTTAACCATCTTTCATTTTTTTTCTGGTTTGTAGAAACGTTTGTGTAAAATCTGAGCAGACTTAGGTACTTGTAGGTAGAAGCTGTGTAATTTGTTAATATACGCATCATTTCTTGCCTTAATGCAAATATTCTCATGGTTGGTAAATACAAAATTTAATTGGTTTTTTTTTCTTTTTTTAAAAAAAAAAAGGGAAATAAGGTATTTTGAGGAGGATTCTTTAGATTGAGGCATATTGGCCAGTTACAATTTTGTGTTAATTTGATTTTGGTCTTGGAGCGACGGGCAGCTGGGGCACCGTCCTGTAAAGTTTTAATGGGTGTAGAATTGGAATCCAAAAAGGACCACCCCCCAAAAAAATCCAAAAATCCACCCCCCTGGGCAGGCTGTTCCTGGGCCTGACCACCCTCTCAGTGAAGTAATTCTTCCCAATATCTCATCTAAACCTCCCCTGCCCCAACTTCAGACCATTTCCTCTGCTCCTGGCATTCTTCCCTTGGGAGAAGAGGCCAACCCCCACCTCTCTCCACCCTCCTTTCAGGGAGCTGTAGAGGGCAATGAGGTCTCCCCTCAGCCTCCTCTTCTCCAAACTCAACATGCCCAGTTCCCTCAGCCTCTCCTGGTGTGACTTGTTCTCCAGACCCCTCCCCAGCTTGGTGGCTCTCCTCTGGACATGCTCCAGCAACTCAAAGTCCTTCTTCTTCTAGCGAGGGGCCCAGAATGGAACCCAGTCCTCAACGTGGGGTCTCACCAGTGCCCAGTCCAGAGGCACCATCACTTCCCTACCTCCTACCCACCCTGTGTAGCCCTATAACCACCTTCCTCCCTGCACTTGGGGTCTGATCTGTGGGGCATAATTCACCCATGGGGCATACACCCCTTGGATGGTGGGGCAGGAGAGGTGAGGCTGTGGTCCTCGGTCCACATCTCCATCAGAGACCTGAGCCGCATCTCCAGCTCCCGTGGAGCTAGAGGTTTTGGGTTTTTTTTCCTATAAATCCCAGCTGACTTTCCAATAAACAGGCAAATGGGCACACGGAGGGAGTTTTCCAGCCGGGCTGGGCTCTGGCACTGAAGGGGAGCTCTGCCTCTTGGCGCACAAACCACCTCTCCTGCTGGTTTCCTGCCGGGCCACTAAAGCAGGAATGTTTTACTACCTGGTTTCTGGTTCTGACATCCCCATGGCAACCTCCTCCCCAGCCCAGCCCCCCGTTTAGCACCATACAAGTAGGATTTGTTCACAAACGGATAAAGGTTGCAGTATGATAAAAAAAAGAAAAAAAATAAGAAGACAGTTGCCCATGTGTTCCTGACAGCCGGTGAATCGGGATGGAAGCCCCGGGGTGAATGTGAGCTCTTCATGGGGTTTGGCAGGACGAGAGCTTCCCGAGGCGAGAGGGCTGAATGGAGCAAGAAATCCAAAATAAAGGAAATTAAAAGAATAGCACCCAACAGCTGTGAGCGGCTGCGATTTAAACACCGCCCGGGGACAGCATCACCAGGGTCCAGCCACAGACCTGGGGACAAAACTGGCTGTGACCGAAGATGGGAGAGAAGGTAAATTAAAAAACCTGGTGAGAAGCAGGAGGGGGCTCAGGATTGACCCCCCCTGTGTGTGAGCAGAAGCTTGTGCCTTGTTCCCTCCTGGATTGCCCAAAATTGCTCCGTCCCTGCCCGTGTCCTGAGCTGAGACCCCCGTTTTCTGTCCCACGGGAGCTTTTTGGGGAAGGGGCTTGGGGTGATGTGGCAGGGGCTGGCTCAGAGTGCTAAAAAGGCTGTTGCCTCCACTGGCTCTGTGTGGATTTTCTCTTGGCTTCCCAAGATTAGGAGAGCCATTGGTAATTGTGGACTGTGTTGGGAAGGGACCAAAGGGGACGGGGCTGAGGAGCAGCCAGGAGAGGAGAGGGAAGGGGAGAAAGGGCCGGGTGCCTGAAAGGAGAAAAGTTTTCCAGGCTCCTGATTTTAGCACAAGAATTCCTGAACGGAACCTTTGTGTGTTTTGCCAGGCAGGAGGCTATTTCTATAAAGGGTGGGGAGAAGATGGGAGGGACGTGGCAGGGGCTGGCTCAGAGTGCTAGAAAATCTGTGTGGTTTTTCTCTTGGCTTCCCAAGATAAGGAGAGCCGTTGGTAATTGTGGACTGTGTTGGGAAGGGACCAAAGGGGACGGGGCTGAGGAGCAGCCAGGAGAGGAGAGGGAAGGGGAGAGGGGGCCGGGTGCCCGAAGGGAGAAAAAGTTTTCCAGGCTCCTGATTTTAGCACAAGAATTCCTGAACGGAACTTTTGTGTGTTTTGCCAGGCAGGAGGCTATTTCTATAAAGGGTGGGGAGAAGATGGGAGGGTGGACATCAAGCCAAACGTAGACTAGATGCAACCAAGTAGATGTTATCATCTGCTCCTCTGCCCCTTCCCCAGGGTTGAAGCAGCAAACGTTGTCTTAACAGCGAAGTGTTTCCTCCAGTGCTCCCATACAGTCTGGTACACAGCAGAGGAGCACCACTGGCACAACATCTCAATGAAATAAGATGCTGAGCACTGAGAGGCTCTGGGAACGGTTTGGTCCGTAAATAGGGAATTCCTTGGCTGGAGGTGTGGGTGTAAGAAGAAGTTGGGCCTCGTTGAGCACAGGCTGTGGAAGAAGTTGGGCTGTGTGATGCTGCTCACGCTGCGGGGGGCGAGCAAAGGGACCCGGGGCATCCTGGGGACTTGCACTCATTGTCCTGGGTAACCTGATGGACAAGGTACAGAGGCTGGAGAGCAGCACGTGCCTTAGCTCTTCAGGTCCAAAAAAAGCAGCCAGGAGCCTCACATGGGGCGTGAGGAATGGTGTGGGGCTCAAGCAGCCCCATCTTTCGACTTGCCTTGGGAGGAAAAGTCAAAAAGGAAAGAAAAGCTGGGGAGGGACTTCTTACAAAGGCATGTGGTGATGGGACGTGGGGTAACGGCTTTGAGATGGAAGAGGGGAGATTTAGAGTGGAAAGTGGGAGGAAATTTTTTGTGGGGTAACAGCTTTGAGATGGAAGAGGGGGGATTTAGAGTGGAAAGTGGGAGGAAATTTTTCCCTCTGAGGGTGGTGAGAGCCTGGCCCAGGTTGCCCAGAGAAGCTGTGGCTGCCCCATCCCTGGAGGGGTTCAAGGGCAGGTTGGAGGGGGCTTGGAGCAACCTGGTGTGGTGGGAGGTGTCCCCGCCCAGGGCAGGGGGTGGCACTGGGGGGGCTTTAAGGTCCCCTTCAACCCAAACCATGCTGTGATTCTATGAATTACCCCTTATCAGTACTCACATCACCTCCAGCACCTTCATGGTAGTGACCAGGAGTGTGACAGGTACAGATAGGACTCAGCTGCTTGTTTCTTTGGAACGTGGACATTTGGGGTTGTGAGTGACACAGCCCCCACACGCTCCTCAGACGTGTGCCATCGTGGCTGCCTGAGTCCTGGCTCATCCCAGGGGGGCTGCTGCAGGACCCGCTGTGGGACCAGCAGTGAGGGATGCCCCGTCCTGCCCTGGTGACCCAGCAGAGAGCAACCACCCTGTGCTTGGCTGCAGGGAGCCCGCAGGTGGTGAAAACATGGCAGGAATGGTAAAAAAGCAGATTTTGAAGGATCCCAGGGGTCACTAGTGGCTGCTGCCTGTCCCACACTGTGCCTTCCTGCAGGTTCCTGCACCATGAGTGGGGCTGAGGACGCTGAGTGGCTGCGGTGGGTGAGGAAGCAGTTTGGGAGCATCGCTGGGGAGGACAAAGAAATCGACCTGGAAGAGTTCAAAACCGCTCTGCAAGTGAAGGAGGTGAGGGGGGGACGGGGGCGCAGGGACCCTTCCTCCAGGCAGCACCCTCAGCCTGACATGGAGCTGTGGGCTCTTCTTGTCCTCAGAGAAAATTAAACTTAAACATAGAATTGTGTGATTTCATGTGAGAGAGGGAGAGAGAAACCTGGGGGTACTCTGTGGTGAGCCAGGGTGGAAAACATGGATTAACCACCCCTAATGCAAAATGCATTGGGTACCCAGTCTGCCTTCCAACATGCTTGGCTATTCCCAGTGAATATTCCCTCATCACCTTGTGCTCCCATGTCCCCAGGGCTCCCTCCCCCCGGCAGCCCCCCTCCCCGGGTGCCAACACACCCCTCCAAAAACACAGCCTTCCTTCCTCCCTTCTCTTTTCGGACCCTCCCCCTGATTTTTGGCTTTTGCCAGATGATTCCCACAGCTGGTGGCGAGAGCTTTGTCTGTAGCACCAGGATGTGGGGTGGCAGGGAGCGTCCCACCCCCCCCATCAGAGCCTTTGTCCCCCTCCCCACAGTCCTTCTTCGCTGAGAGGTTCTTCTCCCTCTTCGACTCGGACGGGAGCGGGACCATCAGTTTGGAGGAGCTGCTGGAAGCCCTGAGCCTGCTCGTACACGGGAGTGAGACGGACAAGCTGAGGTTCCTCTTCCAGGTTTATGATGTGGATGGTAAGGTGATGAAAAATAGATTAATTTGAGGGGTTTTTTTGGAACAAAGTCACTGTTTGCAAGGCTCTCCTCTGAGCATCCAAGTGCTGGCATCGCTACTCGGCTCCGGCGCTGGTCCCTCTCGGGTTAAGTGGAGCTGGGTGAGGGGGTAGGTAGCTCTTCACTGCTGGATCCTCGTTCAATGTCCCATGATGAAGGCATCAAAAATCCACCCAAACCCCAGCAATTAAACCAACCACCCCTCAGGGTTTCCCACGATTCGCTATCACCCCCTGTCATGGAGAGGAGGGGTCTCTGCTCAGCCCCCCGTCCTGTGGGTATCATCATAGAATGGTTCGGGTTGGAAGGGACCTCAAAGATCATCGAGTTCCAGCCCCCTGCCCTGGGCAGGGACACCTCCCACCAGCCCAGGTTGCTCCAAGCCCCCTCCAACCTGCCCTTGAACCCCTCCAGGGATGGGGCAGGAGAGCTGCTCTCACCTGCCTGGGTGTAAAATGCTGCCCAGAGAACTGAGCTGCTCACTGCTCTGGTGTGCCCTCCTTCCTCCCCACCAGATAACCACATCTGGAGGGCTCTGCCAGCCCCCAACTCTGCTGGCCCACCACAACCCTGCAGGGAAACCCCCCGTTGGGTCACATTTTAATTTGTAAAAAAAGAACCAGCTGGTTTGTAAGCAATGGCACGGTCCTTCCTCCCGGGGAGCATTAAGGGGAGGTGATTTCTGGGTTAAATGGGGGTGATTTCTGCACCAAAGGGAGGTGACTTCTGCACAAAAGGTGCAAGCTGAAGGTAAAAAAGACATTGAGGTGCTGGAGCGGGTCCAGAGAAGGGCGACAAAGCTGGTGAGGGGTCTGGAGCACAAGTCTTGTGAGGAGAGGCTGAGGGAGCTGGGGGTGTTCAGCCTGGAGAAGAGGAGGCTGAGGGGAGACCTTCTTGCTCTCTCCAACTCCCTGAAAGGAGGGTGTAGAGAGGTGGGGGTCGGTCTCTTTTCTCAAGTCACAGGCGACAGGACAAGAGGAAACGGCCTCAAGTTGCCCCAGGGGAGGTTCAGGCTGGAGATTAGGAACAATTTTTTCACTGAAAGGGTTCTCAGGCATTGGAATGGGCTGCCCAGGGAGGTGGTTGAGGCACCATCCCTGGAGGTGTTCAAAAGCCGGGTTGATGTAGTGCTGGGAGGTAGGTTGACGGTTGGACAAGATGATCTTTAAGGTCCCTTCCAACCTAGAAGATTCTGTGATTCTGTAAAGCCGTGGGGTTCTGGGGGTCCCTGCTCTGACCCGCTCCCCCCCCGCAGGCAGCGGGTCCATCGAGCCGGAGGAGCTGCGGGTGGTGCTGGGGTGGTGCCTGCGGGAGAGCTCCATAGCCCTGCCCGAGGAGCGGCTGGGACACCTCACCTCCGCGCTCTTCGAGGCTGCTGACAAGGACCACAGCGGCTCCATCACCTTCGAGGAGCTCCGGGAGGAGCTGGAGGCTTTCCCAGAGGTCATGGAGAACTTGACCATCAGGTGAGTCCCTCCAGCGGCTCTGAGTTTCCTTGTGAGCGCCTTTTTCTTCCCACATGGAGGAAAAAACCATGGGATTTATGCCCTCGTGGGGTGCCCAGAGCATGAGGTGCTTGGGCCAGCACTGGGAGCAACTCAAGGGCCTCATGGTGCCAAGCTGGGTGCAGGGCGTGGGTGCAGGGAAGGGTACAGGGATGGTGCCAAGCCGGGTGCTGGCCTTGGGTGTAGGGATAAGTGCTGGGGTGGTGGCAGGGATGGTGTTAGGATGGGTGCAGGGCTTGGAGACAGGGATGGGGGCAAGGATCATACTGGGATGGTGCTGGGATGGTGCTGGGATGGGTATAGGGCTCAGATGCAAGGATGGGTGCAGCGATGATGCTGGGATGGTTTCTGGGATGGATGTTGGGATGGATACACGGATGATGCTGGGATGCTTTCTGGGTTGGGTGCAGTGATGATGCTGGGATGGTTTCTGGGATGGATACATGGATGATGCTGGGATGGATGCTGGGATGGATGCACGGATGATTCTGGGGCTAAGATGCAGGACTTGAGTGCAGGGATGGTGTTGGGATGGATGCAGGGATGGTATTGGGATGGATGCAGGGATGATGCTGAGGTCCCTCCGGCGGCCCCGAGGGGCTGTGAGTTTCCTTGTGAGCGCCTTTTTCCTCCCACATGGAGGAAAAAACCATGGGATTTATGCCCTCGTGGGGTGCCCAGAGCATGAGGTGGTTGGGCCAGCACTGGGAGCAACGCAAGGGCCTCATGGTGCCAAGCTGGGTGCAGGGCTTAGATGCAGAGAAGGGTACAGGGATGGTGCCAAGCTGGGTGCAGGGCTTGGGTGTAGGGATAAGTGCTGGGGTGGTGGCAGGGATGGTGTTAGGATGGGTGCAGGACTCAGAGGCAGGGATGGGGGCAGGGATGATGCTGGGATGGATACAGGGATGGTGCTGGGATGATGCTGGGATGGTGCTGGGGTGGGTACAGGACTCAGATGCAAGGTTGGGTGCAGTGATGATGCTGGGATGGTTTCTGGGATGGATGCAGAAATGGTGCAGAGATGGGTGCAGGGCTTAGATGCAGAGAAGGGTACAGGGATGGTGCCAAGCTGGGTGCTGGCCTTGGGTGCAGGGATAAGTGCTGGGGATTGGGATGGATGCAGGGATGATGCTGAAGGAACTGGGGTTGTTCAGCCTGGAGAAGAGGAGGCTCCGGGGATCAGATGCAAGGATGGATGCTGGGATGGATGCTGGGATGGATGCTGGGATGGATGCTGGGATGGATGCTGGGATGATGCTGGGATGGTTTCTGGGATGGATGCTGGGATGGTTTCTGGGATGGATGCTGGGATGGATACACGGATGATGCTGGGATGCTTTCTGGGATGGATACACGGATAATGCTGGGATGGTTGCTGGGATGGATGCTGGGATGGATACACGGATGATGCTGGGGTGGGTACAGGGCTAAGATGCAGGACTTGAGTGCAGGGATGGTGTTGGGATGGATGCAGGGATGGTGTTGGGATGGATGCAGGGATGGTGTTGGGATGGATGCACGGATTGCACGGGTGATGCTGGGATGGGTGCAGGGATGATGCTGGGATGGGCACAGGACTGCCCTGGCTTCCCCCTTTCCCCGGGCAAGGATGGACCCGGTGCCTCTGCTCCCAGTGCAGCGAGCTGGCTGAAGCCCCCAGCACCCACGGAGAGGAGCTGGCGGCCCCGCTGCCTGACCCGGACCTACTGGCACAACCACCGCAGCAAACTGGCCTTCCTGGGGGGCTACACCACCCTCAACATCCTGCTCTTTGCCCTGGCTGCCTGGCGGCACGCTGGCCACGGCGGGTGGCTAGCAGTGGCCCGGGGCTGCGGGCAGTGCCTCAACTTCAACTGCTCCTTCCTCGCAGTGAGTGCCGGGTCCCAGGAGGGATGCTGAGCAAATTGGGGTGGGGGGGACTAAGGGGGGGTTACCTGGGCTGTTACAGCCACATTTCCACTGGGACCTTACCCCTGTGCCAGGGGGTCCTTGGAGGGTAGGAATTGGAGCCTGGGGGCTTTTGCAGTTGTGGGGCCAGGCCGCCTCCTCTGAATAATTATATATAAATCATGGGTTATTCTATATAAATCATGGGTTAGGGGGGCTGTGAGCTCTCTGGGACCACGGCACGCTCATGGCACCCTGCAGATGGGTCCTGGCTTTCTGCCTCTGGATGCTCTCCAGGCTGACACCCTGTATTAGCTGGATCTCCAGGGCACCAGCCCCTGGCAGAGCCCCCCAGCATCTCCCGTTGCCCCCCAACATCTCCCGTTGCCCCCCAGCATCTCCTACTGCCCCTCTCCCCCAGGTGCTGATGCTGCGGAGGTGCCTGACCTGGCTGAGGGCCACCCCCCTGGCTGAGGTTTTGCCTCTGGACCAGCACGTGGTGTTCCACCAGCTGGTGGGGTACGTGGTGCTGGCCCTGGCAGCTCTTCACACCGGTGCCCACGTCGCCAACTTCAGTAAGTAGCAGCCCCCGGGCAGGGAAGGCCCTTCAGTGGCCACTGGTTTCTCTGGAGCAGCACCTGCTCTAACCCACCCCATCAACCCTGTGGTGGGTCCCATCCCCTTCCAGTCCCTCTGCTAAACTGGGAAATGTCCCCCCACGGTGCAGGGGGTGTCACCCACGCTGATGAAAAGCTGCAGGGGCTTGGACCGAGCCCTGAGGGTGGGTGCTTGTGTCCCAGGGGGATGCAGATGTCCCAGAGAAGGGATGCTCATGTCTTGGGGGCAGGATGCAGATGTCCCAGGGGAGATGCTTACGTCTTGAGGGGATGAACGTGTCCCATGGGGGCGTGCAGATGTCCCAGGGAGGGGATGCACGTGTCCTGGAGGGGTACAGATGTCCCGGGGGGGGGATGCACATGTCCCAGAAGGATACAGATGTCCCTGGAAGGGGATGGAGATGTTCCAGGTGGGATGCTCATGTCCAGGAAGGATGTAGATGTCCCAAGAAGGGGATGCACATGTCACGGGGGCAGGATGCACATGTCCTGGAGTGGAGCAGATGTCCTGGGGGGATACACATGTCCTGGGGGTGGGATGCAGATGTCCCGGGGGGGGGATGCTCATGTTCTGGAGGGGTGCAGATGCCCCAGGGAGGGGATGCATGTGTCCCAGAAGGATGCAGATGTCCCTGGAAGGGGATGGAGATGTTCCAGGTGGGATGCTCATGTCCAGGAAGGATGTAGATGTCCCAAGAAGGGGATGCACATGTCACGGGGGCAGGATGCACATGTCCTGGAGTGGAGCAGATGTCCTGGGGGGATACACATGTCCTGGGGGTGGGATGCAGATGTCCCGGGGGGGGATGCTCATGTTCTGGAGGGATGTATACGTCCCAGAGAGGGGATGCAGATGTCCCGGGGGAGATGCTCATGTCCCAGGGAGGGGATGCAGATGTCCCGGGGGAGATGCTCATGTCCTGGAAGGATGCAGATGTCCTTGGAAGGGGATGGAGATGTCCCAGGTGGGATGCTCATGTCCAGGAAGGATGTAGAGGAGGGGATGCACGTGTCCTGGAGGGGTGAAGATGTCCCAGAGGGGGATGCACATGTCCCAGAAGGATGCAGATGTCCCTGGAAGGGGATGGAGATCTCCCAAGAAGGGGATACACATCCTGGTGGCAGGATGCACATGTCCCATGGGGGGATGCACATGTCCTGGAGTTGAGCAGATGTCCCAGGGGGGATACACATGTCCTGGGCTGCCCTGGCTTCCCCCTTTCCCCGGGCAAGGATGGACCCGGTGCCTCTGCTCCCAGTGCAGCGAGCTGGCTGAAGCCCCCAGCACCCACGGAGAGGAGCTGGCGGCCCCGCTGCCTGACCCGGACCTACTGGCACAACCACCGCAGCAAACTGGCCTTCCTGGGGGGCTACACCACCCTCAACATCCTGCTCTTTGCCCTGGCTGCCTGGCGGCACGCTGGCCACGGCGGGTGGCTAGCAGTGGCCCGGGGCTGTGGGCAGTGCCTCAACTTCAACTGCTCCTTCCTCGCAGTGAGTGCCGGGTCCCAGGAGGGATGCTGAGCAAATTGGGGTGGGGGGGACTAAGGGGGGGTTACCTGGGCTGTTACAGCCACATTTCCACTGGGACCTTACCCCTGTGCCAGGGGGTCCTTGGAGGGTAGGAATTGGAGCCTGGGGGCTTTTGCAGTTGTGGGGCCAGGCCGCCTCCTCTGAATAATTATATATAAATCATGGGTTATTCTATATAAATCATGGGTTAGGGGGGCTGTGAGCTCTCTGGGACCACGGCACGCTCATGGCACCCTGCAGATGGGTCCTGGCTTTCTGCCTCTGGGTGCTCTCCAGGCTGACACCCTGTATTAGCTGGATCTCCAGGGCACCAGCCCCTGGCTGAGCCCCCCAGCATCTCCCGTTGCCCCCCAACATCTCCCGTTGCCCCCCAGCATCTCCTACTGCCCCTCTCCCCCAGGTGCTGATGCTGCGGAGGTGCCTGACCTGGCTGAGGGCCACCCCCCTGGCTGAGGTTTTGCCTCTGGACCAGCACGTGGTGTTCCACCAGCTGGTGGGGTACGTGGTGCTGGCCCTGGCAGCTCTTCACACCGGTGCCCACGTCGCCAACTTCAGTAAGTAGCAGCCCCCGGGCAGGGAAGGCCCTTCAGTGGCCACTGGTTTCTCTGGAGCAGCACCTGCTCTAACCCACCCCATCAACCCTGTGGTGGGTCCCATCCCCTTCCAGTCCCTCTGCTAAACTGGGAAATGTCCCCCCACGGTGCAGGGGGTGTCACCCACGCTGATGAAAAGCTGCAGGGGCTTGGACCGAGCCCTGAGGGTGGGTGCTTGTGTCCCAGGGGGATGCAGATGTCCCAGAGAAGGGATGCTCATGTCTTGGGGGCAGGATGCAGATGTCCCAGGGGGGATGCTTATGTCTTGAGGGGATGAACGTGTCCCATGGGGGCGTGCAGATGTCCCAAGGAGGGGATGCACGTGTCCTGGAGGGGTGAAGATGTCCCAGAGGGGGATGCACATGTCCCAGAAGGATGCAGATGTCCCTGGAAGGGGATGGAGATCTCCCAAGAAGGGGATACACATCCTGGTGGCAGGATGCACATGTCCCATGGGGGGATGCACATGTCCTGGAGTTGAGCAGATGTCCCAGGGGGGATACACATGTCCTGGGGGTGGGATGCAGATGTCCCAGGGGGGGGATGCTCATGTTCTGGAGGGGTGCAGATGCCCCAGGGAGGGGATGCATGTGTCCCAGAAGGATGCAGATGTCCCTGGAAGGGGATGGAGATGTTCCAGGTGGGATGCTCATGTCCAGGAAGGATGTAGATGTCCCAAGAAGGGGATGCACATGTCACGGGGGCAGGATGCACATGTCCTGGAGTGGAGCAGATGTCCTGGGGGGATACACATGTCCTGGGGGTGGGATGCAGATGTCCCGGGGGGGGATGCTCATGTTCTGGAGGGATGTATACGTCCCAGAGAGGGGATGCAGATGTCCCGGGGGAGATGCTCATGTCCCAGGGAGGGGATGCAGATGTCCCGGGGGAGATGCTCATGTCCTGGAAGGATGCAGATGTCCTTGGAAGGGGATGGAGATGTCCCAGGTGGGATGCTCATGTCCAGGAAGGATGTAGATGTCCCAAGAAGGGGATACACATGTCACGGAGGCAGGATGTACATGTCCTGGAGTGGAGCAGATGTCCCAGGGGGGATGCATGTGTCCTGGGGGTGGGATGCACATGTCCCAGGGAGGGGATGCTCATGTCCTGGAGGGATGTATACATCCCAGGGGGATGCGGATGTCCCGGAGGAGATGCTCATGTCCCAGAGAGGGGATGCAGATGTCCCGGGGGAGATGCTCATGTCCTGGAAGGATGCAGATGTCCCAGGGAGGGGGGTTCAAGGCCTGGAGAGGGGGTGCACATGCCCGGGGGGGCTGAGGGGCTGCAGGCAGCCGGAGGGTGTGTGTGGTGCTGCACAATCTGTGCACTGTCTGTTATCCCCCTCTAGTGGCTTCCCAGCCGGGCAGTGGGGGGGGTCCTGCTCTCCCCACGCACCCCCCAGTGGGGTCTGCGCCCCCCGGGTCTGCACCCCACAGCCCTGCACCCCACAGCCCTGCACCCCACAGCCCTGCACCCCACGGTGTCACCCTCACCCCACGGCGGGGTGTCAGAGCTGCACCCCCGACTTGGGGGCAATCGGGGACAGGGGGGATGCATGTGTCCTGGGGGTGGGATGCACATGTCCCAGGGAGGGGATGCTCATGTCCTGGAGGGATGTATACATCCCAGGGGGATGCGGATGTCCCGGAGGAGATGCTCATGTCCCAGAGAGGGGATGCAGATGTCCCGGGGGAGATGCTCATGTCCTGGAAGGATGCAGATGTCCCAGGGAGGGGGGTTCAAGGCCTGGAGAGGGGGTGCACATGCCCGGGGGGGCTGAGGGGCTGCAGGCAGCCGGAGGGTGTGTGTGGTGCTGCACAATCTGTGCACTGTCTGTTATCCCCCTCTAGTGGCTTCCCAGCCGGGCAGTGGGGGGGGTCCTGCTCTCCCCACGCACCCCCCAGTGGGGTCTGCGCCCCCCGGGTCTGCACCCCACAGCCCTGCACCCCACAGCCCTGCACCCCACAGCCCTGCACCCCACGGTGTCACCCTCACCCCACGGCGGGGTGTCAGAGCTGCACCCCCGACTTGGGGGCAATCGGGGAGGGGGGCACATCTGCTTGCACTCCCCCCCCCTCCTGCAAAACACCCCCCCTTGCAATGATGCTGAGCCCCAGAACAGGGTCCGGAGAGGAGAAATGTTGCATTTGTCCAAATTTTTCATTTTTAAAAACGTCCGAGCAAAGGACTTGGGTACTTCTTAGGGGGAAAAAACTAATAATTAAACAATTGGGAAGGGTTTTGGGGGGTGCAGCAGAAATCTGGGTGTGGGGGGGGTGGGTGCTGTGGGTCCCCCATCCCAACTGTTCCTGTGCCCAGGCAGGCTGGCACAGCAGGACGGGCACCCTGCCCTCACCCAGTACCTGCTGTCGGCACGGCCCGGCGTGGGGGGCCTGGGGGGCACGGCCTCGCAGACGGGGCTGGCCCTGCAGGGGCTGCTGCTCACCATGATCATCTTCTCCAGCCCCTGCGTCCGACGGAGCGGCCACTTCGAGGTGGGTCCCGAGCAACTTGGAGAACCCCAGGGGTGGCAGAGCTGCTCCGTCTCGGGGAGAGGGGTGAGGGTCTGGTGGGGGGAGGTGTGTATGTCCATCCTGGTGCTGCCCCATGGGTGGGGAGAGCTCTTGAGCTGGTGTCCCCAGATACCTCCCTTGGACAACCCAACACTTTGCAGTTTTGGGGTTTCCATGCTTTTTTTTAGCCTGGAGAAGAGCAGACTGAGAGGGGATCTCATCGATGCTGAGCAATAGCTAAAGGGCAAGAAGATGGGGTCACGGTCTTCTCTGCTCCATCCCTGGAGGGGTTCAAGGCCATCAGGGTCTTCTCTGCCCCATCCCTGGAGGGGTTCAAGGCCAGGCTGATGGGGCTTTGAGCAACCTGCTCTAGTGGGAGGTGTCCCTGCCCAGGGCAGGGGGGTTGGAACTGGATGATCTTTAAGGTCCCCTCCAACCCAAACCATTCTATGATTCTGTGATTCTCGGTGGTGCCTGGGGACAGGACAAGGGGCAAAGGGCACAAACTTGAACATTAGAAGTTCCACCTAAACATGAGGAGGAACTTCTTTCCTGTGAGGGTGGCAGAGCCCTGGCAGAGGCTGCCCAGGGAGGTGGTGGAGTCTCCTTCTCTGGAGACATTCAAACCCACCTGGACACGTTCCTGTGGGACCTGCTCTGGGTGGATCTGCTTTGGCAGGGGGTTGGACTGGGTGGTCTCCAGAGGTCCATTCCAACCCTGTATCACTCTGATTCTGGGATTCTTCTTTGTGTGGGCTCCCCTTGCCCCCTGGGAAGCCCTGACAGCCTTGCCGTGAACTCCTGTTTGGCTCCACCACTTTCCATTCAGACTCAGCCCCCCCCGCTCCGTGCCCACAGGTCTTCTACTGGACCCACCTTTCCTACATCTCAGTCTGGATCCTCCTCATCCTCCACGGCCCCCACTTCTGGAAGTGGTTTGTGGTTCCTGGCTGCCTCTTTGTGCTGGAGAAGGTGGTGGGCTTGGCTTGGCGGCGCGCCGGGGGGCTGCGCATCGTGGAGGTCAATCTGCTCCCCTCCAAGGTCTGCACCCCCGGGAGTCCCCAGACCCCTTCCCGCCTCCCCCCCGGCCCCCACCACTGTGAGAGTGGGGATAAAAGGTGCTGGGACTCGCAGAAATACCTTTCATATTTGCAAAGTCTGGGAAAAAGCACTTTGTAAGTGACCACGCTGGTTCTTCACGGCAGGGGGACAGGGGGACATGGAGGGGGGTGATGGCCCCGATGTGTTTGCGTGGTGGGCTGGAAGGGGGATGCTCCCCCAGCCACGCACAGGAGGGATGGGGCACAATGAATAGTTTTTTTGGAAAAGATGCAGGTTTGGATTGCTTCAGGGCTCCTTTTCCTCCAGGTCACTCACCTTGTGATCGAGAGGCCGCAGTTTTTCCACTACAAGCCTGGAGACTACGTCTACCTGAACATCCCGGCCATCGCCGCCTACGAGTGGCACCCCTTCACCATCAGCAGCGCTCCCGAGCAGCAAGGTAACCCCAGCCTCAGGCCATTTCACATCACTGGGATGTTTTGCATCACACAAGCCCCATCAGGGCGGCTGGATCCCCTCTGAGGGTTGTTCATGCCCATGCAGCCATGAGGAGAAGGTCTTGGGGGTGTTGTTGGATGAGAAGCTCAACAGATGGATCCCCTCTGAGGGTTGTCCAAGGAGGTGTCCATGTCCATGCAGCCTTGAGGAGAAAGTCTTGGTGGGGGTGTTGATGGATGAGAAGCTCAACACAAGCCAAGAACATGCACTGGCAGCCCAGAAATCCCCCCGCACCCTGGGCTGCATCCCCAGCAGCGTGGCCAGCAGGGTGAGGGGGGGGGGTTCTGCCCCTCTGCTCCACTCTGGGGAGACCCCTCCCCAAGTGCTGCCTCCAGATCTGGGGCCACCAACAGCAGAAGGACATGGAGCTGTTGGAGCAGGGCCAGAGGAGGCCATGGAGGTGACCCATGGATGGAGCCCCTCTGCTGGAAGGACAGGCTGAGAGAGATGGGGGGGTTCAGCCTGGAGAAGAGAAGGCTCTGGGGAGACCTCAGAGCCCCTTCCAGTCCCTCAAGGGGCTCCAGGAGAGATGGGGAGGGACTCTGGATCAGGGAGGGGAGCCCTAGGAGGAGGGGGAAGGGTTTGACCCTGAAAGAGGGGAGATGGAGCTGAGCTGTGGGGAAGAACTTGTTTGGTGTGAGGGTGGTGAGAGCCTGGCCCAGGTTGGCCAGAGAAGCTGTGGCTGCCCCATCCCTGGAGGGGTTCAAGGGCAGGTTGGAGGGGGCTTGGAGCAACCTGGGCTGGTGGGAGGTGTCCCTGCCCAGGGCAGGGGGTGGCACTGGGGGGGCTTTAAGGAGTCCACCCTTTGCTCCACTTCATCCTGCAGAGACCCTCTGGCTGCACATCAGGTCGCTGGGCCAGTGGACCACCAAGCTGTACGAGTACTTCCAGCAGCCCCAATGGCCCAGCCCGGGGTCAAAACCGCTCGGCAGGAGACTGGGGGAGAAGACACCCCAGTGCTGGGCACAGGTCGGTGCCAACAAGGCTCAGCCTTTGGCAGAGGCAGAGGTTGGACCTCGGGACGCTGCCGGTTGGCAGATGTTTGGGAGGTGATGGGTTTCTCAAGCCCATGTCCTTGTCTGGGACATGGAGAGGGCTCTGTTGGATGATCCATCCCTGACCAGCTCCAAAAAAGCAGCAAAGTGAGGTCAGGTCTGGGCTCAATGCTCTCTGCTGAGCGGCTCCCCCCGGCATCACCCCAGTTGTCACCCCCCCTGCAGCTCCAGGCCGGGTGCTGGGGTGTCTCTGGGGGTGCGTGTCCCCTGCGAGGTGTTTGTGCTGCCTTGGAGGATCAAGCTCCGACAGGGGAGGTTTAGACTGAACATTAGGAAAGAATTTTTCACGGAAAAAGTGATAGGGCATTGGAACAGGCTGCCCAGGGAGGGGGTGGAGTCCCCATCCCTGGATGTGTTTAAGGGCCGTTTAGATGCAGTGCTGAGGGACATGGTGTAGGGGAGGACTTTGTAGAGTAGGGGAGATGGTTGGACTCGATGATCCCAAGGGTCTCTTCCAACCTCAATGATTCTATGATTTTGTGTCCCGTGCTCTGCCGAGGCCACATAACCCCCATGGACAGGGCATCAGGTGCCCGTGAGCATCGTGGCCAGTGATGCCTCCACCTTTGGCTTCCAGCAGGGTCTCTGCAGCAGGGCCAGCTCAGAGCTGGGGTCCGTGGCCACCGGCGGGGACGGAGATGTTCAGCTAATGTCGTACAAAGCCACCAGTGCTGCTGCCCCAGGGGAGGAGGACCTGCCCGTGGTGGGGGTGAGCACCATCTCCCACCCTCACCCAGCACCACTGAGACCTTGGGGGGCAGAGGCAGAGCCCCCGGTGCCTGTGGGGCAGGAGGGGAAGGGATGTCTCTGTCTCATCAACACAGCAGCAGCCAGAGGAGCAGAAATGAGGGGAAGAATTTGTTGATTCCATCCCAAACGAGTCAAAGCTCACTAAGAAGCTCTTTTAAAAAGAAACTTCTCGATGTAAATCGTGGCAACGCCAGGATGCTGAGAGCACCCCCCTTTATCATATCCCCCGATAGGAAAAGCTCTCAGGATATTGATTCTCTCTGGGCTGGAGGAGCAGTGCTTGCAGATAACGAACCTAATGCACCGGTTTTAATGAGCTTCTCTCCCTGGCCCTCTTCTGCTCTTGTCTGTCCTTGGGTGAGCAGAGGTTCCCCACGCCTGCTCCCACCACCTGGACCATCGTGGTCACTGCAAACCTCTTATTCACCCCCCAACTTGTGCGGGGATTTGGATAATTGCCTTTTTAATCAATACTCAAACCAGTTATGACCCAGATAATACCATCAGGTGACAGGTTCCTGGGGTGGGACATGTGTGTGGGATGTCCCACCAGAGGTGCAGGCACTACACTGAGCTTGGCTCGAGGGATGTGTCTGGAAGTGGTGTGTGCACCCCAAAAAAAAAAACAACCCCAAAAAACCCCCAGGGAACAAGAAGTTTGGTGTTAGCTGTCATGGAGGGGTTTGGGTGGGGAGGAGGAGAACATCATTGCTCTCTTTACCCAGCAGGTCTCCACTGGGCTGAGCGAGACCCATCGGCTCTGCAACATCAAGGTGAGGGATGTCTTGGTCCTTCCCAGGCTTTGGTGAGCAGGGCTGCACTCAGCATCCCTGGGGGGACCCACACATGTGCCCACATGTCTCTGGCCACCCCTGCATGTAGCCCTCATGCATGGGTGGTCCCACCTGGAGCTGATGCGAGCCCTGCACTGCTGGAGGACTTGGTGCTCTTTCCCACCCCATCTTCCTCTTCCTTCCCTCCCATAAAACTGCCCCCATCTGCAGCCGAAGGGTTGTTTTAGCCCATGGGTTACCCCAACCCATGAGCTGCTGGATTTCTCCCTGAGTTTCCTGTCTCTCCTAGTGCTACATCGATGGCCCCTACGGGACCCCGACACGGCGGATCTTCACCTCGGAGCACGCCGTGCTCATCGGCGCTGGCATTGGCATCACCCCCTTCGCCTCCATTCTGCAGAGCATCATGTACAGGTTGGTGCATGAGCTGCTGGATTTCTCCCTGAGTTTCCTGTCTCTCCTAGTGCTACATCGATGGCCCCTACGGGACCCCGACACGGCGGATCTTCACCTCGGAGCACGCCGTGCTCATCGGCGCTGGCATTGGCATCACCCCCTTCGCCTCCATTCTGCAGAGCATCATGTACAGGTTGGTGCCCTTGCAGCTGCTCGGGCCGGGGTCACACCAGCAGACCCCCAGTATGAGCTCTGACATTGCTCTGGGAGGCACAAGACATGATGTATGCTGTGGTAGACCCGTCCTCCAACACTTCCCCCTGTGGGATGAGCGCCGTGGGGCAGCACCCGTGGTGGTTCCTCCTCACTTCTAACCTTGGGACTCATAACATGTGGCCACCAGACCCATGGTTGGGTCCTCCCTTGGTGTCAGGCTTTTCCCTGGGGATTTCTGCTGCAGGGAAACCTGCTGGCAGGAGGTTGGCCATGGGCGTGCACCAGTGCTGGTGAGGAACGGGTGCTGGGGGTCTCCTCGCTGGGGGCTGAGGGGTGTGGGCTGTGGGGCAGGCATATGAGCTCTGACATTGCTCTGGGAGGCACAAGACATGATGTATGCTGTGGTAGACCCGTCCTCCAACACTTCCCCCTGTGGGATGAGCGCCGTGGGGCAGCACCCGTGGTGGTTCCTCCTCACTTCTAACCTTGGGACTCATAACATGTGGCCACCAGACCCATGGTTGGGTCCTCCCTTGGTGTCAGGCTTTTCCCTGGGGATTTCTGCTGCAGGGAAACCTGCTGGCAGGAGGTTGGCCATGGGCGTGCACCAGTGCTGGTGAGGAACGGGTGCTGGGGGTCTCCTCGCTGGGGGCTGAGGGGTGTGGGCTGTGGGGCAGGCAGGGGGCTGGTCTGCCCGTGCAGGTACCGCCGACGGAGACAGAGCTGCCCCAGCTGCCACTACTCGTGGTGTGAGGACCTGCGGGATGAGGAGATGACACTCAGGAAGGTAAGGATGGGCTGAGGGGGACGTGGGACCAAGGTTTGCCCTGGGGATGGAGGCAGGAGGGCTGCAGGCTCCCAGGGATGGAGCATCCCTTCCCAGTCCAGGAGGTGTGGGGCGGTGGGGGGACTGGATTTGGTCTCTGTGTCACAGAATCACAGAATCTTCTAGGTTGGAAGGGACCTTAAAGATCATCTTGTCCAACCATCAACCTAACTGACAAAAATAGACACCTGGACAACAAAGAAGCATCATCACTAAACCAAATCCCTTCAGGTTGACTTCATCTGGATAAACCGGGACCAGAAGCACTTTGAGTGGTTCGTCAGCCTGTTAACGAAGCTGGAAATGGAGCAGGCTGAGCAGGAGCCGGGAGGTGAGCGGGGGGCATCACCCCCAGCAGAGCTCACCCCGACCCCAGGAGGCACAGTGTGGGGCTGGACAGGAGGTGAGCGGGAGGCATCACCCCCAGCAGATCTCACCCCGACCCCAGGAAGCACGGTGTGGGGCTGGACCCCCCCTCTGTCTGCAGCCGGGCTCCTCTCGAACCCCCAGGGCAGTTTTTGGAGATGCACATGTACATGACATCGGCCCTCAGCAAGAGTGACATGAAGGCCATCGGGCTGCAGATGGCCCTGGACCTCCTGGCTGCCAAGGAGCAGAGGGACTCCATCACGGGGCTACGCACCCGGACCCAGCCTGGCCGCCCCGACTGGAGCAAGGTGAGGGCTGCTCCTGCCCTGCTGCCAAAATCATTCCCATGGGAAGGCACCCCTGCTCCCCAAACCCGCTCTTTGTTGCGGGGACACCACGGGAGAGCCCCGTTTTGGAGCTGGAGGATGCACGGGGGTATCCAGACCTGGGGGAGCCTCTCCCTCCCGTGGGAAGGTGGGTGCTGGAGGGCAGGAACGGGCCGGGTAAAGAGCTGTGATGGTCTCCTCCTCCCCACCCAAACCTCTCCATGACAGCTAACGCCAAACCTCTTCTTCCCTGGGGTTTTTTGGGGGTTGGTTTTTTTGGGGGTGTACACACCACTTCCACCCACATCCCTCGAGCCAAGCAGGGATGGCAGGGACCCGGCCACCCCGGGGCAGGAACGGGCTCTGCCACCACCTCCCCTTCTCCTTCACCACCTCCCCTTCTCCTTCACCACCTCCCCTTCTCCTTCACCTGCACCCTAGGTGTTTGGGAAGGTGGCAGAGGAGAAGAAAGGGAAGGTCCAGGTCTTCTTCTGTGGCTCACCAGCACTTGCCAAAGTCATCAGAGGGCACTGCGAGCGCTTCGGCTTCCGCTTCTTCAAAGAAAACTTCTAACCTTACCTCCCTGCCTGCCCCTGCCAGCCCTGATGCCAGGTGATGGGCTCTGGTGGCCCGATGCTGCTGCACCACCCATGTTGGCTCCTGCCTGTGGCTGGGTCAGAGCTGGGGAGGGTGGGATGCACAGTGAGCGAGGGACAGGGCTGAGCTGGGTGGCTTTGGGGGTCCTGGAGCCGTTTAGGGTGAATGAGATGGGTGTCCTGGAGCATCCATGTAGGGGTTTTGAGGGGGAAAGAACTTTGGGATGGGGGGGATGGGGTCCTGCATCACCTTGCAGGGCTTTGGGAAGGGGGAGGGATCCCCTTGTAGGTCTTTGGGATGGAGGGGATGGGGTCCTGCATCACCTTACGGGGTTTTGGGACAGAGGGAACGGGATTCTGCATCACTTTGCAGGGCTTTGGGATGGAGGGAATGGGATTCTGGGTCACTTTGCAGGAGTTTGGGATGGAGGGAATGGGATCCTGGATCACTTTGCAGGGCTTTGGGACGGAGGGGATCCACTTGCAGGGCTTTGGGATGGGGGAATAGGATCCTGGATCACTTTGCAGGGCTTTGGGACGGAGGGGATCCCCTTGCAGGGCTTTGGGACTGAAGGAATGGGATCCTGGATCACTTTGCAGGAGTTTGGGATGGAGGGAATGGGATTCTACATCACTTTGCAGGGCTTTGGGACGGAGGGGATCCCCTTGCAGGGCTTTGGGACTGAAGGAATGGGATCCTGGATCACTTTGCAGGAGTTTGGGATGGAGGGAACGGGGTCCTGCATCACCTTGTAGGTCCTTGGGACGGAGGGGACAGGGTCCTGCATCACTTCGCAAGGTTTTGGGATGGAGGGGGTCCCCTCGGAGGCCTTTGGGAGGGAGGGGACAGGGTCCTGGAGCCCGCGGGGGTGGCAGGAGGGGGCGGCCGGTCCCCGGCGGCGGCGCGGTGTCCACAGGAGGGCGCTGCAGACTCGGCAACCGGGGTGAGCAAGGTAAAATTTGGAGGCGTTTTGGATGAAGTTCTGCAACCTACACGGAATATTCCATAGGAAGCCTTTGGGAGGGAGCGTTTGGCACCAAAGCAGAGGAGGGGACAGGGTCCTGCATCACTTCGCAAGGCTTTGGGACGGAGGGGGTCCCCTTGCAGGGCTTTGGGAGGGAGGGGACAGGCTCCTGGAGCCCGCAGGGGTGGCAGGAGGGGGCGGCCGGTCCCCG